TCTATTAGATTATTTAATAATTCTCTAAATTAATAAATTTTGGTGGTTCCAACACTATTAATAATTTATAGAAGTTCTACTGTATATAACTATTCCTTTCGTGTTTAAATAAAATTAGTTTATTTCATATAGTCTATATGGTCTTAATTATAAAGTTAGAATTCATACTAAAATTAGTTCAAATTCATATCTTATAATTAAGACATGAAAGAATATCCGTTTATTGTGTCATACCCTCACGATTTTCTTTTTTAAAGTTATTATTTTTTCCATTTTCTGAAGTTCATAAATCAATTTAACACAGTAGACTTTAAAAAATGGATAGAGTATATACTTCCAAAGCGGGTATAAGAATTGGGGGTTAATGAAATTAGTTACCTTGGGACATTGTCGTGTTCCGCCTTTAACTGGTAAAAATTAATTGTCCTATTCTAAGAGGAAGAGGCGTTCATTCATACAGACTTTTATGTCTCTGATGACGAAGTTGTGATTATTTATTTATTTTTATTTTGGTCGCATCTAAAAAGAGCTGCCATCACCATGAGGAAAAACTAGGCAAGTTGGAATGAATTATACTTGCAATAAAACGGAGATTAAGACCGAACAGTCTCATACTATTATGCAATAAACTGACTTCAACAAGTAAAGAAGTCCCTAACTCCCAACTTTATTTTGTTAGGCCAAATATATCAATTTCCAGTTTTCACACTAAATTCTTTAACATCGTTTTTTTCAGATTCCTTCTAAACAACGAAATGATTAATTAATAAAATTGAGGGCTGGCAAGAAATCCGCCTCTAGGAATTAGCAAAATTTGGAAAAACAAATGAAATTCTTCATGACTTGGGTTACCAAATTCCTGCGGAAAGTTGATTCGACAGCTATTTTCTGTCTACGAGATCGTACAAGTAGTGTGGAATACTACGAAATTTTTTTTTTCTTTCAATACTTAAGTTTGGCAGTTTTTTTTTTCAAAAAAAAAAGAAATGAGAGGGGAAAATTCGAGGAAACAGAAGGAAGAAAATGAAGGAAAGATGTTGATGAAGAAATATGCAAAATAGAGAGCAGCAAAAGGAGACCGATTGGGTGGCAAAAAAAAAAAAAGTAGGGTCAAATGAGGTGGACAAAAAAGTCAGGTAGACGAAGAATGATGGAGCCTATAATGTTTGACAATATACCCATTGTAGGGCTACCCGAAACCCCCACAAAGGTCACACAGCCAGACAACCTATTACCTGCATCTGCTGACCCCCAATTCTTATTTTTCCATCTTCCAATATGAAAATCCTTCATTTCTCGTCTACCAAATCCTCTATCTGTTTCAAAATAATTTTTATGTTTACTATATTAAACAAAAATTTCTCCTAAATTATGAGTATAATAAGTTTTGTAAGAATAAAGTCAATCGAAGATCATATATTCGGAACCCCTCTAACAAACACAGAGATTGACAAGATGATGAATTTCTCAAGAATAATGAATCCATTGTTATGAGGGGAAAGGTCCAAAAATCTTATATGTAGATCACGAGGGTCTTGGGACCCCCCGATACGAGACGCTTAAAACAATTTATTTAACAAAATGCATCAAAAACCTCGGTGATAGTTTTAGAAAATGAAGTATCAAGTACCGTTTTGCAAATGTTCTAAATCGGAGGCAGAATAAGCATAGTATAGATCTACAAAATTAAAAGTGTTTTTTTTTAAAAAAATATAAAAGTTTACTTTGGGACGACGGAAGAAATCAATCAGTGCTTAAAGTATAATCATAAATAACAAAACATATTGGGAATGAATCTATGCTATTAACGTTGTAACAATGTGCAACTGATGGTATAATTAGGTATCAACAGCTTCTAAAAAAATATATATAAACGATTTTCTAACATAGACAGTCTTAGGTTAACATTCGTTTAATCATTAATATTGTTATGGGTTTTTTTTTCGATCTTTTTAATATAAAATGTAGATTCGGCTATAGTGTCTATTTTTATTTTTTTTTCCCACTCAACTTTTACCTTTTTCTGGAGTTCGGTCGGGTCACTTTTTCACTTTTGAAGATCCCAAAATAGATACAACTAAACATTTATACAGCCGACAAGGGAACACGTTTTAAACATTTCTAGCAAGTATTCAAAAGTTAACTTTTTTCCCTTTCCTTTTTCGTGTGCAAATTAAGTGTACCAGAATTGGTGAGTTGAACATTACAATCAATCGGTTACTCCACAAATGAATAAATGAAATATATAGCTCCTGGAATTAAAATTACTTGTTCTAAAATAAGTTTTCATAGTTGTTATAATGAAATAGTTAGTTTAACTCATTAAGAACGTTTATTAAAATTTAAAATTCAATAAAATTAGAAAGAGCTGAGGAGGAAATAGACTTTTGTTGCTTGCTAGGAGTAATTGGTACTTGTACAAAAACAAGCGCGTTGTTGATTTCTGTTTACAACCATTTGAAAAATGGTTCTGGAAAGAAAAAAAAATAATAAAAACACTAATTGGGGATCCAATTTCTACAACTGGATTTATAATAATTTTATAAAAAGATAATTCCAGTTAATAGAAAAATTGTAGTAGCAATTTCGTTTTGATTTGGGATGGCTGAGCGTACAAAAAAAATAAAAAATAAAAAGGGTGGTTAAGTTGTCAATTTAAGGCCAATTTTTGGTCTCAATCACGGCACGTAATTTTCAAAGGTCAAATCTAATGTGAAATTATTTCTCCGGAGAACACCCTGGCTTAGTGGTCATAGTGGACTTGAGAAGCCGTCTACTCTTTGTCTCCAGCGCCCACTTGTTCTTGTTCTCTTTTTCAAAACCCACAACCACACTTTTCTTTCACCTACTAATCGCTTCTATTTTACTTTTACCATTTTACTTATTGAGGAATATTATTCATTCATATACAAAGAGAGCCAAAAAGACAAACTCGAAATGGTAAGACGACAAGAGTTGATCAGTATATTTCCCTCCTCACATCATATTAGAAAACCTGCCAATCCCTAAAGTAATTAATTACTGCCATTACTAACCACTTGTCATCCTATACATATAATATAATACCTCATCCGTCCTAACAGTATTGTCTAAATTGTACTAAAAATAAAAATATCAAACTGGACAATAATTTTGCGACATAGAGAGTAATGCATGATGTTCATTTGCTAAAGAATTAACCTTCCATCTATTGAGAAGAAAACCCCCAATTTGATTTGTTCAATCGTTTGTTTGGGTTTTGATTTAAAAAGAAAAATAAAATGCTGCTCTGATAGTCTAGTATGGAATCTACTTGTTTAGTCACGTACCTAAATCCCAGTGAGATTACCGAAAAAGCTTTTTCCCGGATCAAGTAGGAGATAGATTAAAATAGATGAATTTGATATTGTAATCATAAAGTAGTTGTCCGTATTCGTGATCTCTTCTTATTTTAGGTATTTGCTTTTGTTTGATAATCTGCAGCTAAGAAGTTTATTCGATCTTCTGAAGAAAATCTTACACTGCATTTATTTTTATTTTTCCGATCCCCGCTTTATAATTCATAGTATTATATAGTCGTTAATGAACATAAACCTACCCGTAGCAATTATCCATTTCAGTTACTAATGAATCCAGTTATTGAGTTGAAAAAAAAAATTAAAAAAAAAATGAAGTTCTCTGTAAATGAGCATTGAAACGAGTAATGTCCCAAATGAAAGCTACATTTTGAGGACTGATGCAACCTATTCAAGAAATGTCACTTAATTAGGGGGACATCCACACTTATTTTAGATAATTCACTACAAATATTTTGTTTTAATTAAGACTCAAAATAAAAGTCATTAAGAATATGTGACCCACGAACATACTGAATAGCATATGGTGGTAACACAACTAAGTAGTAATATTAACAAAAATTTTAATATCTCCAACAATAAGCAGGGCCATGAGGAGGGTACTAGTAGAGGCGAAGGTAAGAGGACCCCTCAGTCCTAATTTTTTAAAAATTGTATAATTTGTGTTATGCACATACTATTTACAATCGCTTTCAAATTTATATATTTTATAATCAAAGATTCATTTTTTTCGGTTTAGGTCTTATTTATTTCAATTTTCATAGTTAAAAAATTTAATAAAAATAGTCAAATTTTATAAAAATAAAATATTAATATAAAAAATAAATTAAGAATATAAAAACTATCCATATTGAAAATATGTGATTATAATATATGTATTAATACAAATTACATAATAATATATATATAAAGTAATTGAATTGTGTGACATTGAGTGCATAAAAAAGTGTCACAGAAGATCTAAGTCGCGTTTATGTGAGTTATGTAGATAGATTTGGCTGTAAATAACGAAGATTTAAGATGCGTTATTTAAGACAGTAGATGAAGTAAAACTGTAAAAGTGTAAAACAATTCAAGAGTCCAAAGACCAGGTCCCACGAAGGCCAAACTAAAAAGTCATGAAAATCTTCCAGATCCCGAAGCAGAACAGTCAACACTTGGCTCCCACCCGCCCCACATTAAGCCATACACACAGTCACACACTGACCCACACAGTTCCAAACCAATCTCCTCTAAAAGCCACCAAAACGTGTTGGATTTGAGCCGTGCGTGCGTGCGCCCCCACACACACACAGTCACACACTACTGGATTAAATCCCAAAGTCTAAAAAAACTACTAACACGTAGTCACACACTAACTAAAAACTCAGAATTCAGAAAACCCAAAAGGAGAAAAAAAGAAAAAAAAAAACCTCATCACCAGGTCGTCAGTCGCACCCCCCAAAAGCTTGGCCGTCAAATCGGTTGACTTTCTCTTCCTCCTCCTTCTCTTTCTCTGTTACCTTTTCATTTCCATCACGTGGAACGCGCCGCACCGTTCGGGCCGGTGGATTTCTATTCTTCTATTCTTTTCTCACCCAACCTCTATTTATTTATTTATTTATTTTGTTGATAATTCTTCAAAATCAATATCCATTTGTTTTTTTCCTTTGGTATGAACCAGTCAAACTCCATGTTGACCAAATGCAGACGAAACCTTCCCTTTATTTCCTTACTTTCCTAAGCGAAGACTGGAACTGTGGGACTACCTATTCGGGGTACTATTTTATTAATTTTGTACACATTTTTTTACTTTTATTCTGGTGGACTTTATTGCCACCTGGCACACTTCCTGACGCATCATCTTACGTAATTTTATCGAGAATCTCTCTCTCTCTCCCCCTTGTAATTTTCTCTGTCTAAATTTCTTCTAATTTTCTCTCTCTCACCTAGTCACACAGTGATCACTAGAAAATTGGATCAAAAATCTTTACAAAGTCTTCAGTGTACGTAACTTTTTCTTGAAATTATAGTGTCCCAAACTCATTTCCAACACCTTTATATACCCCTCCCTAATGCAACCGTAAAAAACTTCTTAGCCTCTTCTCTTCTTCACATCCCCCTTTCTTCGCTTTTAATCTCTCAGTATATTTCTTCAATCTCTTCTGCCTAGATTTAGAAACAGTAACATCTGTTAAAAAAAACTAGAGGGTTTTTTTGATCGTGGGATATCGATTTATTGTTTCCTCTTTTGGATAATACTGATATTTATGGACAAAGGATGGGGTGTAACCGTGGATAATTCTGATAAGATTGGATTCTTTGGAAACAAGCCGGTTTTCGGATTCAATTTGAGTCCTAGATTGAATCCCAATAAGGGCAATCATCTTACTAGTACTCCTACTACTACTGTTAGCATGTTCCCCGGAGCTGCCGAGTTTTTGGCGAATCAAAACCACCGGAGGCCGGAAGACAGATTGCAGAGTAATTCTCCGGCGAGGGACGTTGAAGAGAAGATGACTGTTTCCGGCGAAGTTGACTTCTTCGCCGAAAGGAGGAGATGTAATGATGTTGTCGTCAAGAAGGAAGATTCTCACGGTGAACCCGTAACGAAGACTTCTAACACGGTTGTAAATGTAAGCCCAGAAGATGACTTTTTCCTCTTTTTTTTCTTTTTTGTGGTTTAACCAAATATTGGAAATATTAGTATTTCTTATTTTGGACCCCAATGAATGATCTCGTTTTTTCTGCCCCTTTTTAGACTGGCCTGCAACTGGTTCTTACTAACACTGGAAGTGATCAATCAACGGTAGATGATGGGGTTTCATCTGAGGCTGAAGACAAGAAAGCTAAGGTTGAGGTAAGAACATCATCATCATCAAGAATTAATTGGTTAATGATTTAAATATCTTTCTCTTCGACTTTTAATAGGACATTAGAGGGGTAGTAGATAATTGTGGCAAAAGTGTTAATAAGCATGCACAATTTCGTACACGTCTATATGAGGTGAAAATTCTTGTTTATATTTTACTTAATTTAGCATAATTTTTTTTTTCCAGCTGGCTCAACTTCAAGAGGAGCTTCAACGTATGAATAGTGAAAATAGAAGGTTGAGAGAAATGCTAAGTCAAGTTAGCAACAATTATGCTGCTCTCCAAATGCATCTCATGGCAATGATGCAGCAGCAGCAGCAACAAAATGCTAGACCCCAATCCACCCTTGAACAAGAGGTAACTTCAATGGTCAAATCAAGCTTCATTTATTGTACCAACATAAAAAAAAAAAAAAAACTCTATTTAACAAGAATCAAACTTTTAATTTTTGGAGAAGGATTAGTATTATATGGTACATGGAGATAATACTATACTAAAAGACCATCTATATTTATTTATTTATTGTGTGTATTTAGGTTGGTGATAGGAAATCTGAAGAAAATAGGAACGAAAATGCAGTAGTTCCAAGGCAATTCTTGGACTTAGGTCCTAGTTCAACAAATAATAATGATCAGATGGAGGAACCAACCAATTCTTCATCCGAAGAAAGAACACTTTCCGGGTCACCCCGTAACAACAATACGGAGCTTTCCAGGAACAAAGGAATCGGAAGGGAAGAAAGCCCTGAATCACAAGGTTGGGCACCCAACAAAGTTCCCAAATTGAACAACGCATCAAAGGCTGCCATTGATCATGCAGCTGAAGCTACCATGAGGAAAGCTCGCGTTTCAGTTCGTGCCCGATCAGAAGCTCCCATGGTACGGAATCATACATGAATCATACATCCAAATAAATAACATTAACTTCATTTTTTTAGTTGGCTAAAATTGGATGAATTAATATTTGTTTTACAGATCACTGATGGATGTCAATGGCGTAAGTATGGACAAAAGATGGCTAAAGGAAATCCTTGTCCCCGGGCTTATTACAGATGCACCATGGCTGTTGCTTGTCCAGTCCGCAAACAGGTAATATATCCTGCCCGAAATTCTGAATAATATTGAATTAGACAAACAGCCTCTAAAAGACAATGTGACATATTGACATGATCAAAATAGCTAACAAGAGTATGGTATTTGATTGACAAATATCAGGTTCAAAGGTGTGCTGAGGACAGAAGTGTTCTAATAACAACATATGAAGGTACACACAACCACCCACTCCCGCCGGCCGCCATGGCGATGGCCTCGACGACCTCGGCCGCGGCCAACATGCTCCTTTCGGGTTCCATGTCAAGTGCCGATCATGGGCTAATGAACCCAAATTTCCTCGCAAGAACCATATTGCCTTGCTCCTCAAGCATGGCAACCATCTCAGCTTCTGCACCATTCCCAACCATCACATTAGACCTCACTCAATCTCCCAATCCATTACAGCAATATCAAAGGCCTTCAACCCCATTCCAACTCCCCTTCCAAAACCCTCCCCAAAACTTTGCACCAATGGCTCCGAACCCTTCTCAAATTCCTCAAGTTATGGGCCAAGCATTGTACAACCAGTCCAAGTTTTCGGGGCTCCAATTATCCGGCCAAGACATCGAAGCTGTCGCTGCCCAATTGCAAAGCCATGCGGGCCAACATCCAGCACCACCGATGCAGCCGGCCGCCGCGGCCGGGCAGCACCAGCCGTCGTTTGCGGAGACCCTCAGCGCGGCCACGGCGGCGTTAACCTCCGACCCTAACTTTACCGCGGTCCTTGCAGCCGCGATCAGTAATATTATCGGTGGTTCTCATCCAAGCAACGGAAACAACAATAATAACAGTCACCCAAGCCCTTCTACAACTTCTGCAACACCGCCTCATCATTTTGGTGGCAAATAAATGGATTCGACATTTTTTTTATTTGTTTGGTATTAAAATTGTTTTGTTTCTTGAATAGTTTATGTTAATTACTTAGGTTGTTGATAGTCCCACATTTACACTATACACACGGAGTCCCGTTGGGTCGATGAACATAGATAAGCATGTTCATAGTACTATTAAATTGTTTTTCCATTTTTTTAGGCCATGGTCCGAGAGAAAAAAGAGGTTTAGCCTTTTAGGACATAAATATTTTTCATTGTTACCTTTTTTGTTTATGTATTTCTGTGGTAATAATCTTGTTCGGAGTACTTCAGTAAATACATGAAAACAAGCCAAAGAGCCAAGAATTTGATATATGCAAGTTTCATTTGTCTTACACACTTTCATTATCTTCGATGTTATCTTCTTCTACATCTTTTTTTTTTTATTATTTTGTTTTATTTATCTTGTTTTTCAACGCTAGAATAACAAGAAAGACGAGGGAAATTAAGATAGAGAGACGAGGTGTCCATTTCAAACTTAAGAAAGGAGACAAGAAGAATAAATGGATAGATGTTAGAGAGTTAGATGCGAACAATATTGTTGTGATTCGATGGAATTTGGACTTTGGAGGAGGAGGAGGTCAGTGGTCAAATAACTACGGCCATTATTGTTTGACACGCAAATTGAACCGAATTATTTTGGATAGACTTTGTGAGAGAGTTTGAGAGAGGAAGAAGACGACCGCCATAGAAGAGACTTCAAAGCAGCTTCTTTTGAATCTTTTAGAAAAAAGTTCATATTAAAGCGCGCGTGCATGCATGATTCTCATGAACGATGCATGATCGATGAACGAGTAGGTGCAAGCCTCCTTGACTATTACAGCCAATTTTGATCGTTAGCTAGGGCCAACCATTTCTACAGTTTTGTCCTTGCTATACCTAAAAGTCGTAAAAATTCAAGGCAAGGATATTAATTAGTAGATATTTTAAGCTTTTTCCGTCTTTACGATATAAAAATGGAAAAAACAAACTACCATTAAAAATTACGTTTGATCATATATCTAAATTATCATATATTGAAATTAGGAAAAAAAAAAAAAACGAAGAAGAAGCAATTTTGAGACGACTTACACCATAGCGTCGATCTGCAATATGAATGTGTTGGAAACATATTTAATTCAATATTAAAAATTAGAATTGTTACAAATACCATTACTCTTAACATTATTTCTAAAATAAATACGAGATAAATGTGGGGGTTATTGTTGAAATTAAATACTATAAGGTTATAGTTGTTGCTATTAAAAGTATTGCTGATTATATATTTAAACTCGTGTGATGGAGAAAGAGGAGAACAAGTGATATTAGTCAAGTTATTCCAAACTTTCTTCTCCTACTCATTTTTTGAGAAAAGTATTCCTATAAGTGATTTTCTAACACTTATTTTTGTCAAACAAACTTTCAAAAATTTTATATTCTACAAACCCATTTTCTATATTTGAGTAGGGCAAGTCAGATCATGATCGTTCACAATATAGAAAGCTCTGCCACCATTGGAACTCCTATGAGAATTGTTGTATCTTCGGAAAAGAACGCCGTCAAACTCTATGTGGAGGGGGCGTATCTCTTCTTATGACAGCGTCTTTGGCGTGCCTCAATCCAAACTCTATTTCTCAAACTCTTTCTTTTATCTCTTTGGAAGATTATGGTTTTTGTGTTTATATCTTATTTTTGATGATTTAAATATATATATTTTCTAACAATCTAAGAAAAGATAAACTATTATTTCATACAGTGGCAAAAGTGACTACGCTTTGGATTTGCTTCACTCCGACAATATGCCCTTTAGTACTGGTGGGTTGGAGTGTTCAGCTGCTTCAGTCTCCACATAAAGTCTGATAAGGTTAAGATGAGTAAGAAAGTTCTATTTTTAAGAATAATGGTTCTGCCAAACTAAAATTACGTATTGTTATATCTTTCATATATTAATCATAATGATAAAATTTTAAATGTGGCATGAAAATAATTTTATATCATGTAAATTAAAGTGGATGTAGTTATGGTTTCTTGTAAGTGTTTTTTATGATTATTTTTAACTATGAAATGTAATGAATTGGCCTCAACGTGGAATTTATTTGTTGATATCTGAATTAATTTAATTATTATCTTACATAAATTTACTTATGTAATCATGTGTGTACAGTTTCTGCAACTTCGTGGTTTGCATATTTGCTGCGTGTTTTCATTCATGAAGAAATTTTCTTCAAACTTGGTTTTAGCTTTGAGTGCATAAAACTAAGTTTTGCAGCATGTTTGAGTACATAATCACGAGCCATGGAAAAAAAAATTATTTGCTATTACCGCTCATGCCAAATCGGCGCCCTGCATTGAGTTTGATCAAATGAAAGGCGAGCTGAAATGACGGATAAAATGTTTAATAAATAAATAAAAATAATGAAAAAATGTGTTCTAGTTTATGGTTTAAAACTTCCATTTTCTTCTAGTGTTTTTAAATGGTCATTCTTGATTTTGAAATAATAAATGATAGTTATTATACTAATAAAACCATTTGACCAATAATTATGAATTTTCAAAAAAGCTTTCAATTTATTTTTGGTAACGGTTTTTGTTTGAGAAATTAATAATTCAATTGAAAGCCAATTTGATTTGGTCATCAAAATGGTAACGGTCTTGAGAAAAAGGTCTGTGTATATATACATGCACTTACATTAGTTGTGTTATGGTTTTAATGTAAGTTTTACTTCCAGATATATTAAGACTATTATATATATATATATATTTAAGAATTTTTAAATTATGATGAAATTTTAATGAGGGCATTGAAATAAATTTATGTGGTTAATCATTATTATTTTTTTTAAAAAAATATTAATGTCATATAGACTTTTATTCTAGTGGAATTATGTCTTGTTCTGTTTGAAATAAAAATAGTCCATCATGACTCATGAGAATGTCTTGAGAATATATGTGGCAATTTAAAATGACAAAAATTTCATTTGGAAAGTTTAAAGCTAACACATACCCGGTTTGTGTAAGGAAAAAAATTTTATAATGAATTTTGCTATGTATTCTACAAATAGTAAATTTAAAGCTTTAGACATGATTTGATTTCTGAGAGTCAAAGTCCTTGTCAAGTTTGCTGATTATATTTAGCATAAAAATAAATTATCATTGTTACATACGTAAATTCTTTGGGATGTCGGTTTTTGCAATAATAGCATCATTTGAGAATGACCCAAATATATAGTTTCTACAAGATAGAAAAGGTTTGTGACCATTTTTAACAAGGAACAACGTAAATACGATTGAAATTAGTATCTCCTAGTAGTACATTATTTATCATCATATTTTGATTCCTAGTACTGAGACTATTGGCTACTTAGTGATTCCTAATAGTAGACTTCTGGTCATTTTCATGGTGATTTCTAATAGTAAGACTACTGACTACTAAATTGTAGTGGTTGTCAAATAATAAAATAAAACTGTAACACAATTAGCGGTGCCTAGATATCCAAATGTGACCCAAAAAAAAGTAATAAAAATTGGATATCATATCGGGTGGAATCGAAGTAGCTAACGATGGTGTATTACATGTGAAGGGAATATGAAAAATTAAAAAAATTGATGGTCCGGATTTAGTCCCATATCTAATATATTTGAGGAAATAAATTTTTTCAACGTCGGGTTTGATTATATTCGAGTAAAGCTCATCAAATTTGGGATGGATTTTCGAGTTACAGATGGAAGAAAATGAGATATCTCTCTGATACCAAAAGCATACTATAAATATTTGCTAAGTCAAGACAAGTCTTGATTGTGGAGCATAAAATAACTTAGCCAAAGTCTTTACAAAAGATTGGCTTACTAAATTAATGAGGGGGATGAGATTTAAAACCTATGAACAAGTCATCATAGTGGACACTTAATCTCTGTGATTAGAGATCCCATGAAGGAGGTTCAATAGGTACAAACGAAGCTACATGGATGGCTATTATCAACACATATATATAAAGGAAAATATTCTTTTCTCATTCCTAAGATGAGTGTTGATATTTGTGATGGAAAAAGGAAGAACATATCTCTGAATTAGTCCAAGACAGAAATTTACAGGGTGTAAATCACAAACACTCTTGGAGGACTTACCTATATGATTGTTGTTAGTAGTGAGGCCGCTACTCTGGGATGAAGGCTAATCCCTAGATAGCATTCATGAATCAAAGATATTCGCGCATGGCCTTTAAGAGCGCACAACTGTTAGAACTGATCTAAGTATCCATACCATGTGTTACTTGAAAAATTTGGATTAAAGGGTCTTGTTCAAAACTCTACGTTACCATGGTTCTTTATATGGACCTATTTTTTACTAAGTGAAGGTTCAAATCCAGAAGACACCTATCACCTAGTGCATGGTATTTTTGCCCAACAAGTTTTATTTCAAAATATTTTCAATATTGAATTATGTGGGGGATTGTTAGAAACATATTTAATTCAATATTAAAAATTAGAGTTGTTACAAATACCATTACTCCTAACATTATTTTTACAATTAATACGGGATAAATGTGGAGATTATTGTTGAAATTAAATACTAGGGGGTTATAGTTGTTGCTATTAAAAGTATCATTGACTATATATTTAAACTTGTGTGATGGAGAAAGTGGAGAACAAGTGATATTAGTCAAGTTATTCTAAATCTTTTTCTCCTACTCATTTTTTGACAAAAGTATTCCTATAAGTGATTTTCTTAACACTTGTATTTGTCAACAAACTTTCAAAGATTTTATATTCTATAAACCATTTTCTATATCTGAGTTGGGCAAGTCGGATCATGATCGTTCACAATATAGAGAACTCTGCCACCACTGGAACTCCTATGAGGTTTGTTGTATCTTCGGGAAAGAACGCAGTCAAACTCTGTGTGGAGGGGGCGTATATCTTCTTAAGACAGCGTCTCTTAATCCAAACTCTATTTTTCAAACTCTTTCTTTTGTCTATTTGGAAGATTATGGTTTTTATGTTTATATCTTATTTTTATGATTTAAATAGATATTTTTTTTTAACAAAATAGGTATCTCAAAGAGTCAGAGGAAGCATATCATTGTTGCAGAAAAGATTGGTAACTTCGGGAGTTGCAGTCTATGTTCAAAGTCAACGTTTTGCTTTACAAAAAATGTGGCAGAAGTCAGGAGGAATGGAAGGGGACTTGATTTGATTGGAAGCTGAACTGATAATTAAGTGTGATTATCACAGATTAAATAAGCTTGTTCTCATGATCGGGGAATGTGTAACATGTATTCATTTATCACGTCGAACATGTTAAGTGATTGAAACTGGCTTCAGCGCTCCAAAAAAAATAAATAAATAAACGAAAATAAATTAAATTC